GCCGAGAAGGCCGTCCCCCCCCCCCCGATTACTTCTTTAATAAGCCGTTGGCCATATCTTTTTTTAAACTTTCCTAGCTGTGCAGGTCCTTAGACTCACGAGTACGGTCAGTGTTGTAACGCATTTACTTTGCCTTTGTTGTTTTTATGAGGAACAGCTGTCTCAAAGTTATCAGAGCAGAGTGTATCTAGTTCCACTTTTCTACAGCATATCTCCGAAATAATTTTGCTCAAGACGATCAGAAAACTGACTTCAGCCTTCTTCAGACGTAAACGACCGTTTTAGAATGGGTTCTCGTCTTAAATTTGAATTGAATGGCTTCCAAGTTCAGTAACAGAATAAATGGTAGCGACAAAGAATGAATGTAAATGTTTTTATTTCAGGAAGCCCTTTCAGTGATTCAGAATGTAAAATCTTTTACTTGAATTCATTAAAATAACCGGAAAGGTACAAAATTTCCTTCGCTTTGGATTTCCTCTCGTATTTTGGCATCCTTTCAAAATTTAATAAATGTCTACTTGTACAGTTCTGCTGTGTTTGACAATTCAAGTAGGATTAAAATTTCTATACACGTTTTGATCTTTCGATTCCACCTAAACTTTCCACATTATATAATAGTCCTTAACTAAATGACGAATAAGGAGTATTCCGCAAAAAATAAGCTAATTTTCAAAAACCTTTTTGATGTTCATCGTGAACAGTCTTTTCGGTTGAGTTTTCTGAGTCTACTGGTAATTTTTTTAACGGACTGGCGGTGAGTTTTATGAGAAAAACTTTTGTCTTGTTTTAAAAAAGCAAACGAAATATCATATGCGAAAGAAGCGCGAGATTAAATGACGAAAATTTAAAACAAAGATGGCGGCGCCAGGATTTTTTTCTACTTAAGTGAGAAGTTTACCTAAGGTTCTTGTATTTGATGCGTTGAGCGGCAACTGTGAATGTAGGAGATAGAAACTAAGGGAAGGTACGTTTTTTATTNTGACCTCAACGATACTAGTGCAGCGCTCTACCAATTGAGCTAACAAGCTAACTGGGAGCTGCCCATCAAATTAATTGACATAAACCCGTAAGATGATAAATCAAACACAATGAATATAGGAAATTCATATATCTGAACTGCGGTTATAGAAACGTATTTGTGCACGATCCTCGTGTAAGGCGCTCAGGACGAAAGAACATTTGTGGTGACTTTCAAGTCCTATTTTCCAATCTGAAAAGCAGTCAGCACTGTCAAACCCCAAAGTAAACACTATATTCCTTTGAGTTATTAAATCAAAAGAAAACTAACGATTTACTCTGACCTTTCGGTTCAGTACTTAAACAGGCGTTCCACCAACAAAAGCTCTCAAGTCCTTTTTCGAGGAGTTCTACAAAAGGAACTAGAGAGTTAAAATGTTAATTTTTTGAAGGCATCAAAAAACACTCCACATTTCCTCCGAACTCTCGCTTTCTTCCTTCGAAAAGAATCGTTAGCTTCACAGCACGACATAGTTTTAAATTTTTTAACCCGTAATTTGAATAACACAGACAAATACTTTACCTATGGTAATTTAGACGCGATTGTTATCAACTTCTCGTATTGTTCTTTCGGAAATCAAAACCAATTACAAAAGAAAATTAGGAGATAGGCAAATGATTCTAACTTAAAAACCTGGCAGATTTCCGTAGTTTACAGACGTGTATAGCGCACAAATCTCAGACAAACATTGACAACCACTTTTTGTCATTGATATCTGAAAACAATCTGTTGTGCTCACATTCACGAGTACGGCGTGGTAACGCAATCACCTTGGTTTTTTGTTTTTTGTTTTGCTTCTTTGTTTCTTTATTTGTTGGACGCTTATAAAATACACAGCTGTATCAAAGTTAAAGGCAGGAAAATTAGGAGTGGAGTGTATCCAGTTTCCGCGTTTACAAAGTAAATTTCCAAAACCATTTTGTTCAAGACGATCAGAAAACAGACTTCAGACTTCCTCCAGACGTAAACAACCTTCTTTACAATAGGTTTTCATCTTAACTTTTAATTGACTTGTTTCCAATTTCAGTAACAGAATAAATGGTAGCGACAAAGAGTGAATGTAATTTTTTATTTCAAGAAGCCTTTCCAGTAATTCAGAATCTAAATTTTTTTACTTTAATTCATTAAAATCACCGGGAAGGTACAACATTTCCATCGCTTTGGATTTCTTCTTTTATCTTGGCATCCTTTCAAAATTCAATGAACGCCTAGTTGTAAAGTTCCGCCGTAATTGACAATTCAAGCAGGAATAAAATTTCTACACACGTTTTGGTCTCCCGATTCCAGCTCAACTTTCCACCTTAGTAGTATAATAGTCTTTCCACTAAACGACGAATAAGGAGTATTCCGCAAAAAAAATGCTAACTAATTTGAAAAAACCTTTTGACGTTCATCGTGAACAGTCATTTCAGTTCTGTATAAATAGAAAAAGAATCTCATTTTTTGTTTTGACGGACTTAATGCCAAAGTGATTTAAAGACGCAGAGAAGCTTAGGCAAGGTGGTCCACAGTCGCCAGTTTTTCCAGAATACACCGAGAAGCAAAAAAACCAAGCGACAGTGATGTAAACAGCAACTAAAATTCGAAGTGAACACCGTGGTATCTACACGTGTCGCACGAAAGAATTCAATGCAATTTGAAATTACATTTAAAAAACTGTTTGAACTGACTGACGGTGACTTTTCAGAAGAAAAAACTTTAGTCTTGTTCCAGAAAAGCAAACGAAATATCACACTTGTTCCGCGAACCAAGGGCGTAAAAATTCTTAAAACAACGCCACAGTAAATTGAACAGAATATACATGAACAATGGCTACAAATGCAAAATAAGATCATAAAACTTACGTGGTAACTTGATAAAAAGTGGATGTTTCTCCGACGTACAGCTGCACTCAAATCATTCACTTGTTCCTTTGTCATTTTAACATTATAAAGATACAGCTTCTCCAGGTGAGGAACACAGCTGAGATGTCGAATGAGAACACTTACCCCATCACCAAGAGGGTTACCTGACAAGTCGAGCATGCGCAGACTAGGAGCCTGGTGCAGAGATCTGGCGATGGCTGCGGCAGGTTTGGTTGTCAAATTGATATAAGTAAGTACTAAATAATGAAGTCTGTTGGTGAAGATGATACCAGACACCACGGTCTTTGTCAACAGAGCATCATAGGTTTCAAAACCTTCACCACAAACAACTACCTCTTGCAGAGATATGCAAATTGGTAATAACTCGGCAAGCGTCTCCATCTCTTGCCTTTCTGTGTAAAAATTAAAAAGGCTCCTCACATAGGAAAGGCTGTGTGGTGTCCGATCAGTAATGCTACCAGTGTTCTCAGTCGAAGACGAAGCTGTTTGGTTGTCATGTTCATTCAACGGATCACCGAGGCACTTCCCCTGAGTAGACTCTGCTGTTGATGAAATGAGCTCTCGTAACATTTCAGTCGGAAATGATGGTAGGTCTTGTATTTCACAAACACAAAGGACAAATTTTCTTTCTTTCTTGAAGAAGAACTCCTTCAAAGGACGACGTGGCCATTTTTTTAAACACTTAGCGACTTTCATTTCGCCCGAACAGCTCAAAACAATAGCGTTTATGTGTTCCGCTACAGTAATCAAGTCTCCATGGCTTATCTCTGAATTCCTTTCTTCGTCAGAGAAAAAGATAAACTGGGGCATCACGGCACGTTTCAGCAAGTCTTCATTTGCAACAATGTTCAGCTGGTTTGAATCAAGAAGCAAGATACCACCAGTGAGAGAGAGAAGCGTGGAGAAGAGATCTCGCCGTTTCTCGGCCGAGCAACAAAAATAACTGTGTGAAATGAGCTTTAGATACTGCTGTTGATTCTCAGGTAGGTCTTTAGTCGACTGAAGCGGCTCACTGAATTCAAACTCCGACAAAGATTCCTTTCTTCCAACAAATACAAGATGATAGAAAACTGCGCAAGCAGCTTCTATTGACAGCTCGCAGGCAAATCTGAGGACTTCCAACATCGTGAGACACTTTTTAAATGAGTCAACTTTGGATAGACTTCTCGAACTTTCATCTTTCATTGACAACAACTCCTCTTTCATGTGCCAAGCAGCAAGGAACTCCTGTACGGACTTGTGAATGAAGAAGATGCCTTTTTCGGGATCCAGACTGGCAATGTTGACAACTTGAAAAAGTCCTACTTCAAGCAATTTTTGAAGTGAACTGGAAATCTCGGTTGTGAGTTTGCTACATCTAATGAAAAGAACTTCTTCTAACAAGGATTCAAACGCAAACTTTCCGATGCTACTGAGGTCCTTTTTAAGGTCATTTAAAGACGTCTCCGCTACTGGTTCTGTCTTGGCACTTCTTTTGGCCGTCCTGTGATTCAGCATGGTTTGAATAAAACTGTTGTAAATGTCGGCCCGTGATGTTGGCAGTCCTTCATGATGTTTCTCATTCCAGACAAGACAGAGCATCAGTAAGAGGAGAGGTATTTCTGCCATGTCAAGGAGATCTTTCTCTCTCAGGTTGGACATAAAGTCTTTAAGATCTTGCCCGTCTGTCAAAAACTTTCTCGCAAAGGTTTCGATTTGTTCCCGGTTTTTGAAACCGTGAATTTCAAACTGAACGTGACTGGGACCTCTTAAATCGTCACATTTAATTTGTCGCGTGGTGACAATAACGTGGCAATCCCTCAGTAGCTCGCCCTTCCAAATTTCAAGGATTGGTGAGTGTTCTTTTGCACAGCTGTACTCATCATAACCATCCAAAATCAGAACCACTTTATCTTGATTCTTAATTATGTAGTCATAGAGACTTTCAAGTGAGATCGGGCAATCTTTGGCCAGAAGTTTCGACGCACGCAATACATCACGGATGTCTTCCTTGTCACATACATCTCGCAACTTAATCAAAAGCAAAATGTGGAAGTTCGTTAGGATTATTTTAAAGGCTTTCGACCAGTCTTACGCAGCCTTTTTACAAAACGTACTCTTGCCAATTCCTGGCCGACCATAAACAAGCATTCGTGTTGGTTTGCGATGATGTTTATTTCCCTTGAACATGTTGGTGTAGTCCCCAAGTTTCTCTTGTCTGACTCTGCTGGGCGTCCTTTCATCTCGGACCCAATACAAAGGTGTGTAGATCTGCTCAATATCAACAGATCTGCTGTCGTCCCACGGTACCGTTTTAACTTTACTGAAGGTGTCATAATAAGACTTGAGCTGCTCTTGGCACTTCTTAACAATTGACGACTCTAAAAGTATGACAAAAAGTACACGTTAACCAAACGAACTTACAGTTACAGTGCATTTTAACTCTTTTATCATAATACCAAATGCTTTTTTAAAATTGAGGTATCTGAAATCGCTTTCTTGTTGGCCAAGCCGAGACATTGCGAGCTCGTCAACTCTCCGCGTTTACTTTCGTGGCAGTAATTTGTGAAACCTTCTAGTTTTAATAGTAGTTAATTAATATCGTTTTTTTAGTTGTTCATTATATAAATTTAGTTGGTAGATTATTCTGAGAGTTAATTAATCGATACGTTTTATTACTTTTAATTGTAGGAGGGCCATTATGAAAACTACTGGGTGACCAGTAATCAATGTGTTTTACTCTCTTTAAATAAGGTTTTCTTCTTCTTCTTCTTCTAAATTGCTGTATTACTCTACTCTTACACCAATTTTTCATACTGGGCATCAAGACGCCAAAAATAGGCCACGGCATTCCACTGTAAAACAGGGCAAAAATACAGGAGAAGAAACAAAATGGCGTCAATGAACGATGGATATAGTTAATTTTTGCGGTTTTTTTAGACTCGCCTTTTAGAACAACGAATGTTAAGCGCATCTAACACCTTGTGGTTTAGTCACGGGAAAAGTTTGTAACGAGTCTCCATTTCCGCTGCCAAGTTTTCTCTACCGAGTGAGTTTTCTCCATTGTTGTTGTTGCCTTCCCAACCACACCTTGCAACTCGTAAAATATCCGCGTGTTTTAAGTGTTTATCTATTAAATAAGGTGTACATCTCTCTTACGTGTTCACGGAATGGAAAGGGGCGTTTTTGATGACATCTAAACGTACGTTCTAATTTTACCGAGATTGTATCTAAGTAGGAGGCGCAAGGATGTTTCTTATTCTTCAATGAAATGAAAAAGATATTTCTCTGAACAGCGTACACTAAATGGAAGAGGGAGTGGGCTCTCTTCTCTACACGTAAGGTCCTTCTACTTTGGCTGCTTTGGGCAGTTAGGTAGCTGAAGAAGTTTCTTAATTTTGTCCTACTGAAAAATCATTTGTTCTCGACATATCCAAATTTTGAAGTTTTCTAGTGTGTATCGGCCGGGAAAAATTCATCCTCTGAAACAATACAAATATCTTAAGAATGACTTTTTCAGAAGAAATAGAATACTCTTAATTGGCTAATACGATGTTTTTGTGAGAGCTATGTCAATATTTCTGACTGAACACAGCGATTTTGGACACTTCTGTTACGTATAACACCAACATAATTTATTGGAATCGCAGCAAATTTCTAAATTGACAACTGATACTATCGACAGGTTTCAAAGAACCTTTCTGTTAATTTTGAGAGCAATTGCTAAGAAGTTCCTATTTCGCTCTCCCTTTTTTGTTTTTCTGTTTTTTTATCTGTTGATTTTTTTTGTTTGCTATTTACGGCAACGTTATTGTAATAGGTGCATAAATACATACACGGTGGACATCTAAATAAATCTGTAAAAATATTTAAAAAAAAAGGATCAAAAACAAGAAAAATACCATTAGGAGATGAACTGAGGCGTTT